GTCTGCAGCCTAAGCAAAAGGCGTAAATAAAATAAGTCTCACAAATTCTCACTTACCAAAATCAATGTTCGGAGAAATAAGTCAAACGGAATAGTCATAAATACTATGATTCAAACTTTACTAGTCATGTTACTACAACGTGCCTCATTTTATAAATCTCAATAGTCACTTAACTAAAACAGTTATATTGCAGAATTAAATAATCTATTTGGTTAATTAGCTTTCATGTTTAATTGGAGTAAAATCTATTCGTCCCACATCTAACAGATGCATAAAAATTTCAGATTCTTAAATTAAACGTTGATTAATATCCGAGAGTTCGGGTCGAATTATTCAATGTATCTTGTAAATAATGGAAAATATTACTAAAAGCTGATCTCACAGTCTTAATTATTTAAAATTAGCGTCTTCTGACAAATACCTCAAGACGCATTATACTGTGCTATTGGATACCGAGTTATAGATGCCTACACAGTGAGTAATGTCCAGACACACTTATGTAAGTCATTATCAGTCAAAACTTGAAGATCACAACACACTTCCTTGCTGTTATTACTAAAAGGTTCACAACCGTCTCATCAATACTTTGCAAATAATACTGTAGTATTCAGTCAGTCAATTGCAACCTGGTACGTATGTACATTGGTTCAAGTTGCCATATCCCAATTAGCACTGAGTGATGAAATCATCAGATCAAGTCCCAGAACAGAGAGATTGAAGGCACTGAGAATACGATTCGAAAAAATATAAATTAATGGAATAAAAATACAAAAAAAACGTTATGAGCAACTCAGAAGCTTAGAATTTATGGGAAGACAAACGATAAGTGAATCTGCACCATTGCAACGATTTCGAGCCACGTCATTCGAAGTCTCTAAGCATTGGCTACGATAACCATGCGGACACCAACCAGGTAGACTACACCCATTAACATGGCTCAGTCCAATTATTATTGACTTCATGGATTGACGCCATGTTTTGACATAACCACCCCTAGCTATCTTCTAGCCAAGTCCTACACTAGAAAACATCGCCCATCGAGGTAGGCGGTGGTTGGGGATACATAACATGTCGTAACCACTTCACTTGATGGTGATTTACTACCTTGAGTATTACATTCAATCAACCAGCCAATGTCTGCAAAAAAGATACTGAACTGTTGGAAAATGGTCAAAGTACCCTAAACTAGGCAGATTCTTGTAACCTCAAAGTTGTTGCAACCGGTTAAATTAAACCTATTGCTCTCGTCATACAGAAGGATCAAAGGGAATCTAATTATAGTTTTCAAGTTACTTAGTAGTATTTTCGCATCATTCTACCTTTCGTCGAAGACGAAGAGTTTACAGAGACATCGACTTTCCAATAGAACTGTAAACAGGTGAAGCTCTAACATATGTATCTGTAGCTTCTTCTGTCGATGCATTCAAAGGAAAATCGGACCGAATGAGATCTCTGCCAGGATTAAGACATCATCCAGCCACCTCCTCTTTCTAAGATGAGGTCGAAAACAAATTCGAACTCCGAATAAAAAAGTATTTCCAAGATTACGAATATCACTGGTGAAATTGTTCAGTTTAAAATTCGTGGGTTGAAACTTCGGAAAGCTTAAAACATTTATAAAATTAGAATTACATTTTTAGAAATATTTGACCAGTGAAATAGTAAACGAGGCTGGTATAAAACACTGCACGAGGTTTGCGTACTTCAGTGTGGAAAGAATAAAACACCTAAATCTGGAGAATTCAGACTGAATTTCAGGTTTATGGGATATCATATTTTTCTTTGCTGCACTTGGTGTCCCTTCAGCCTAATCCGATCTTACCCTGCACTTTTGTTACTGATGGTGAGCTGGTGTGATAAGTGACTCAGCCACCGTACAGGTGTTGTTGCTTTCACATTGGCTTCATCACTCCATTTGTGCGAAACGAACGTGAAAGATAGGAAGACCTCATTTTTCTACCTAATAATATCATGTCATCTGCATAGTCTAGATCAGCCTAACAATATTTGAATAGGAGAATAATTCCTGAGTTGTTAGTAAACAATTATCTTCACTTTTGAATCTTTAAGGCTGGAAAGAAACAGTAACAAGGTACAAAGACTCAGTCTTAATGAAGAGGATCTAATCAATTTTTCGTATTTTTGAATGACCGATGGCCCTTGAAAGCAAATTACCTACAGTTTGTGTACACTGGATAAACTAGGTAGTAACCCCTGATGGCCTAACTTAGAACTCTGAGATTACAATTCCTACAGCACATCATATTATTCTGCAAATCTTATTTATCTTTTCATTGTTTCAAAACCATAACATGGTTCACTTGAACTAAAGGTTGGCTTACTTATCTAATGGGACCATAATTTTCCCTTAGGGAGTTGTAGGTTAGTTGGAATTTTTACATACTCTACTTCTGGTTTTGCCAATCGGTTAACTCCTCTATTAGTTACCGCATTTATTAGTGTCTATTAAACAGCTCTTCACAAATTTAAGGATATTTCCACAACCACTACTCGCTGTTATCAACGTAAACGGTTAATCGATGTGCTTAGGCTACTTTGGCTTCAATTGATCTACAGTCTGTTATGTTTTGCACACAATCTACAGCAGACTGACCTTAGCAAGCAAAATCCGAATGAGAACTATTGAAATAAAAACTTAGTAGGCTTATTTCTTCATCTGGAAAACTTGCCATACTCTCATATATATCAACGTCGAATGGTCAGATACAGATTGTATCTTTCATCGCTCTTAACCGATAATGACTAATGGTGTTGTTGGGTGGATGTCATGTCTGAAATTAGTGCTGGTCAGGTACATATAATTGTCAAAGCAAAGAGGACGATAATCACCAGAGAGAGTTTACTAAGTCCCAAAAGAATAGTTCACACTGGTATTAGCACTACCATTACAAGCAATTTGATTATCGAGTCGATAAAATCTTTAGGAATTTGAGTTGAATAGTTCATATCAGGGTAACATTTTACTAATATGAATGATCTCCCTCACATTAAAATCCGACCATCCTAAACAATTAGTTTCATCGCTATCGAATAAAATTCACATCAGACTCTGAGACTATAGTTAGTAACTACACCTTTCTGTATCATGAAGTTATTGAATTTTGGAAGGCATTCAGTAAGTCATCATCTAATAAAAACAAACATGAACATGTTTCATTTTTATACCTTTTAATACACAAAAGCATTAAAGTTTTATCTACTAGCTTGTATTCCAACCAATTGAAAATTCTAAGTGGAAAGTTTGTGATGTGTTTTTTATTTTCACCGTCGAATAGTTTCCGTTTGAAATATCCAGGTTTCATGAGTATAATACTACGTACTTAGGTATGAGTCATATTCTAGATATGTGGGCTAATGGAGCTACTCAGTCATCCAAATCAACGTAGGTGATGAGGAGTTTGAACATATGATTTCAAGCCTGAAAGTCGAACGTCTCAACCACGGTTTCATGAGTGGTCGACCCAAACACTACGCTCAGTAAAAACAGCACACAGAAAGCGAAACTACTGAATTTGTGTGTGATCGTTGTCAATACATTAAAGAATCACAAGAACAGCGTTGAGAAACGTCTAAATATGTATATACCATCTTTCATAAATAGAACATGATTATTAATTAAAAATCATGCCCATCAAATTGAAAACTATTTTGTTGTTTTAATGTCACAACAATGATAATTACGCTGAATGGAATCACTTTCAGTGCTTAATATTGACTCGTTAACGAACAGTTCTAAGCAGGAAACACAGTTCATACTGAAATTGTATTATTTGAGTGTTAACACTAACACGTAAGACTATGAAATTAGAAGTTCCATACATAACTGGATATAACTAAGTTAGCCTAGGTAAATAACTGTTACAAGTCCATTTTAACAAATCTAATAAATTCATTCTTGCATAAATCCCTTTAAACAGTTAGACTATTTAATTATAAAAGATATGGAAGACAAACCAGTTATCCAAATATCTGAATGTTTCAAAATGAACATATCTGCTTACAGAAAAGGATAAAGGTAAAAGGGGATACAAGAGGTATGTATGTTCAATAAATATAGCTTTAAAATGGAAAATAAAATGTAAATGAAGCCATAATAGTTGCAATAATAAACATAATTCTGTACCCCAAAAAAAACATTATAATGTTACTAACAAAATAAAAGAACTTTTTTCCAAAAAAAGAATACAATTCAACTTGCAATCATAATAATTCGTACACACATTTTACTCATGAAATTACAGTATAAATAGATTCATAATGAAATGAAGTGATACGGAAGAAAAAAATGATACAAAGTTTAAACTGTTTAAATGAACAGAACTGAAAATAAGTTGCCTTATTTAGAAGTGTATTTGTAATATTTATTTTTAAACAATACAAATTAAAGATCAATATATCAAACAAGTAACATCTGGGGATGATGGTAATAGTAATGGTTTAGAAGGAAAGAATTTGCTCAACCATGCAATATCTATAAAGCAGTACAGAAAACGAATATAAGTACTGGGAGACAAAGTAATTGAAAAACATAGAGACAATTCATTTGATTTACTGGAAACAGTCCCGACTCTACTTTCCTTAGTACTGTTATACATTAGGTAAGTAGCAGATAATGAATAAATAATAGATTATAAGGAATGTGACTTGAATATTGAGTTCTTTTTTTTGCAAAATAACTTGCATTTCGGTTTAAGAAGTTAATAGCAGGAAGAAATCAAGCGCCATAAACGAAAACCTTAAAATAAATCTATGAAAGGTTCCTTTTTACATAAACTTTATTTCTCCGACATTAAGCGTGTCGTATAAAAGTTCGCGGGATTCATATATATATATATATATATATATATATATATATATATATATATCGAGAGAGAGAGAGAGAAAGAATGTAACATCCCACCCAGTACAAAACAATACCAGATGATACCATAGGTGAAAAAAGGGATACTTAAAAAATACATTTCGTGTTAATTTGTGCATTAGGTCGATTTTCGATCAAAACGGCGCCATTGTTCCAGCAGGAAACTAACTAGTTGGTCTCGTGAATTATCTTTAGATGTATAGAGTTTCTGTTCACATTGGACACCCACTGCAACAGTTGCCCAAGAAGTCTGTGGTTTTTTTAAATCTTCTCGGACTGAATCAGGTTGTGGATTATATTCATTAAGAACGGGATTAGGTGAGTCGTTTGCTTGTACGGGAGGTGAATCTCCCATTCCAGAGCCTGAAGTGCGATTCCGTGAGAAATTGTTCTGATGAGGTCGACCAGGGTGAGTTGCCGGTCCATTATAACGGTGAAACTGACTGGTATTACGAGGTACGAAATGCTGTTGATGTGACCTTCGTAAACTGCCATTATTAGTAGGACGTCGCCATTGATCAAAAGGACCATTTTGGTATGCAGTAGGGATTACCCCAGACTGGGGCGACATATTTACATTATATCGACTCACTGAAGCCCGGGTTCTCGTGTTAGCTCCACCAACAGTAACAGGTGAAGCATTTGAACGCTGACTGTTGAGATCGTCTGACTCGTTGGCTTGAGTAGATGATCTAAATGAACGTGACGATTTATGCGCATATCGAGGGAATGTCCTATTATCATTAAAGTCATGTCCATTTGGGAGATCTGAAGAAACAGATGGGGCTGGAGAAGATGAATTAGATGCTACAGGTTTAGTCTGTTCTGTGTTGGATGTTGGTGCATTTTTGTTGCTTGAATGCAAAGGTCTATCATATTTAAAGCGTGAAGCCGCTGCATTTGAAGTATTAGTCTCACTTGGATTACGCATACTTAGTCCATCAATTGAATTACCGTTAACGGTGGGACGTTGTATATCTGTATTTTCTTTTGTATTTCGACTATTGGTATAACGAGAAGGATCATGATGGCCGTTTTGAATTCCTCTGAGTTTCTTTTTTTGTGCTTGCCTTGTGTTAGATGGACGCACCTGAGTCCAATGTTGACAAGACCGCTGACCAGATTCGGACTCTGCATTTTCGCCACAGCAAAATGAACATTCAACTCTATTATCAAAATCAGTAACATAATTCCCAGAATTGACATCAGTATTAGAGTGGAACGTCACAGTAGTACTGTTGTCTTTATTAACTGTATCTGTATGTTCCATACCTACGAAAAAAAGGAATTGTAAGTCAGGTTAAATAATTTAAATATTGATTGGGGGGAGCTAAACGGAAACGAATCAAAGATGAATTCTTTGTAGACAAATTTGGAGAAGTTAAATAAGAGATTAAACCAAATGTGACCTGAGTAATACAAGTTTTGTTCGCATTATTAACACTCCAATGTACGTGTGGTGGAAGAAAATGTAATTAAAACAGATGCTCTATGAAAAAGTCAAAACGTGGGTCTGTAAAAATGCAGACGTTTATAAGCACCATAGAAATATATTAAAACATACATAACAGCCACGCTGTCTGTAGATAGAACTAAATGTGAATGGTGTGTATGAGATGTGGATTTATGACAACTGAGTTAGAACAGTCAAACGAAAGATAGTTTTGGGTAAATTGGTGGCATAAGACGAAGGTTTAATGTCCCAAGTTACTAGTAACAGATACATGACTGTAAAGCTTCCCGAGTCGATGAACAAATGAGAAAAATTTAACTGAAACTCAGGAAACAAGCAACTGAACACTAACCAGTAACGAGGGATCTAGGAGCTTTAATCAAACTTGTCTGTTGTTAGACCTACATCAAGACGTGGACGTTAATAGAGGTAATTATGGTTTCATAACTCCTGCGTAAGATATTGCGTTTAGCGACGATGCTTAAAAATTGACCACTTAGTAAATTAAGACCGTTCGTATGACATAATAATTTTAATACGTACGAGTTGCTGAGGTCAAAGTGAAAAATAAGGCAAGCGGAAATAGAACAGAACACATATACGTAGTATAAAATAAGCATTTTGTAGCAAAATGCGATTTGTGATTATCCATATACCAAGAGAGGTATTAGCATGAGCTATTGGTGGATTTTACTTGTGAAGACTACGATGCAATCAAGTCAGCTTAACCAAAGCAAACGTTTCCTAGGGAGCCATGTCCTCAAATATATTTCATCTATGCGAGTAAGTCAGTATGTTTTAAATCAACAATGAAATGTCTTTTCTCGTAGGGACCATTGATTGAATTAGGTTTGCACATAATTTGCCCCCCCCCCTGAGATACTGGAGTTCAAGTACAGCTAGTTCATAATCAAGGTTTTTATATAGAAGTGAACCTTGTATCTATCTACCCGGTGTAATTGTCAAGTGTTTGTTTTTATCCTCTAAGCGATTGGGACACTTTAGGTCATTCAGAAGCGAAAAATCACGACTGATGTTGAACCAGAGACTACAATTGGAAATGACCGGAACCTAATAAACGCAAGAACATAACTAGTTAAAAAAGCTCATTTTTTATGAACAATTAGAGACATATAGACGACTTTCATGTTTAGGTATCCAAGTATTGTCTAGTCAACTCAACACTGGAAATGGATACTGTCAAAATAAGACCGAAGGCGAACTTATAAACTGGAAGTTATTCTAATGGGTTACAAGAATGATGAAAAACTATTTAGACATTATGAAAAGTTCTACACAACGAAGATGAGGAACGCTAACCAAAAGTATGTGATTATTAAGGGGATGAAACTCCGTTTTTCGTTATTCGAGCTTGTTAGTCAGAATACTGAGGTGAGTTATAAGTGTGCGATCAGAGCGGTTCTCGAGGTCCCACTTAGTTAGAAAAAGCACTTTCAATCTAAGTTACAGTCGACAGTCGCTTGCATACTTCGAACGAACGAAGTTATAAGGACTCTAAAAAATAAAGATACACATTGTTGTCCAATCTTATCCTATATACACGACCCTACTGACTGTAACCAGAACAAAATCAAAGATAATAGCGGTTGTGACTGGACCACCAGGCATGCATGTCGACTGGAAATAAATTGAGGCTTACGACACTTTTAGGCAGCAAAGAAACCGCCGAGAGTGGGGAGAGTCCGCTCTCCCTCTCGAAATACTCTCACATGGTCATGCGTATATAACCTCTGCCAGGGAAATCCTACTCACTGCCTTCTCGTGGCGGGGGTGTTGTTTACGAAAATGAGAGGACGAAAAGCGAATGTCCGGCACCCGCTTTAACCGGATGCCAAAACAATGGTGCACATGGGCTCCAGTATCCTGAAGGAACAAATGGCGTATGAACCAATCGTTGGTCACCGGCTACCATGGAACTGCATCTCCTCACGATGCTCCACTGTCTTGTGGGTCAGGCGTTCAGGTTGAAGGCTCGGGGTGTGGCCCCCTAAGAAAACCACGTGCTTAGGTTTGGGCACCCGGGCAGTATCACAGCCCTCACACATATCAACTGAGATTTGTGTGGTGCATTTGTACTTGGTGCCTCCCTGTACTAATACCTATATGTTAAAATAAATAAAACCCATTAGGCCTGATCAGACTTCCAAGATGAGTGACCACGGGATACCAGTAGAACGCTCAGTATCAAAAACTAGATTGCACCAGTGGTAATTCTATCAAATTTGATGGAAAACACTTGTCATCTACTTTATCACGATGAATTCACCATACATGAAAAAATGCAATCAAAACTGTTTTTGGTGGTGAATCCCTAGGAAAAGTCTACGACTGATAAGAAATCGTAAAAATCATTAAAGGGGATAAATCATATGGAATGAACACTGATACATAAATTCGTAGGAAAACAAATAATTACCTAAATTAAAGTTCCATTAGATGTTTATTATATCTTTACATGACTAAAAATACTAATGAACAATGACGGATCTTAACCCCTTTTCTACTCAAAGTTTATGTACATATTTGCAAGAAACGATTGTGAAATCTTAATAAGTGCGGTATTTGTATTGGCGGATAAGGAGGCTCAATTTGTTTTAAATTGGTAGCGGGCCTACACACCAATAACTATTAGATCTCTTGTGAAGACTCATAATGGGTTGAGTCCATGTATACTAACCTAGAATTGTCAAGATGGAAGTGGTGACTGCTCTTACAATCATAGCTACCGTTCAGCTAACTTATACATGTACCCGGAGTGTAAGAGTGTATTAGTTACTACATATAAAACTAGTGTGGTATTTAACATGAACTGTAAGACACGTTATGCGCAGCTCGCCCCAAACTAGAGCATATTTGTGCCAGACCTTACTTTTTCAATGACTAAGACCTCAAACTGAAATTAGGAATTCTACACACATGTTTCCAAGACGTCGTTCCGTTTGGTATATTACAATGGATTTTCGTCAAATTACTACGGAGCTATCATGATTTATTTTCTGAGATACTTTCATGTAAGACACCGACCCAACAGCTTGACAATGGGCTTTCATGTGGTTGCATGGCCATCGCATACAATTGGTAAGCTTAGTGTCTGAGAATAACGTGAATACCCTACAGGCAAAATGAAGAGGGAAAAAAATACTACATTGGTCATGCACAAGTGTCAAAGGTTAGGTAAACTAGAATCCGAAGCAATAGGAAAAACTGAGATACTAAACTTACCTGCTTGCAAACTGTGCTCTTCGATTTTGCGGTCACTTCCACAATGTGTAATTTTCTCAGCCGGCATGACGTATGTTTCCAGATTAGCCAATAGTCCGCTCTACAGTTTGTGTGCAGCTCAGAACCTTAGTGGATTATAACAAACTTTAATGTCCAAGAATTTACCGTTCGTTTAACAATAAATAGAGTAGAACCCCGTAAGTTAAGTGTGAGGTTAGCCTCAGTTTTAAATTATTTCATAGGCTAAATGTTTCACCAGGAACCAACCAAACAGTTCGAATACTTGGAACATGTTACCCGAAGCAGTGGTGTCCTCCCCTTCGATTGAAACATTCAAGAAAAAACTTGACACTCACAGAAGCATACTGGAAGAGGAATAACATAGGCTGAAGGCCTTCTGTTTTTACTACACCAACCTGGATCTGGAGTGGCTGAAATGGTTATGAACGGAATAGTAGCTTTCATCTTGTAGCCTGAGAAAAACTGAAGTCAACACTAGTATTAAAAAACCGGTTATTTAGATATTAAGTAAGCCAATCAATTAAGCGTGAATAGATACCTAATCTTCTGTCCTTATTGATGAGACATGTATAACTGATCCTATCAAAAGCTTTTCAGAAGTCAAGATAGACGACGCCAAACTTCACCTTGCTCTCATGGATGTTTGTCTACCTGTTCGCCTTGGTCAGCAAGTTATTTATAGAAAATTGACCCTCCCTGGAACTGTGTATGAAACTGTTAGACCAGTGAAGTCTTACAACAAAATATTCATGGAGATATAGGAGCCAAGTATTAGACAGGTTTCTGTGTTAGAACTATCTAATAAGTTTACTGCTACTATAAAACATCCAAAACACAGTGTCTAGTATAGGTTTTGAACGCGACAAACAGACATATCAAGTATGTAGTTGAAGTTTAAAAAGGAGGCCTAATCGTCGTGCTGAAAAGAAGGAGGATAAAGGAGAACCAACGAGGCCAACGAATCTCAGCAGTTGACAAAGCTTAGTTGGTCTGATAGCAAAGAGCCGAAGAACCGAAGTTTATTTGTTTGACCCGAACAATGTATTGAATACAAAACTCATTTGGTTAGTTTGTGTTAAACTGTGTTAGAATAAGAACACTGAGCTAAGTGCATTTGATTATAATTTAGGGAAAAATTATATTGAAATTACTTAGTGATTCAAATGATACAGTCTGTGCCATATGGTCTAAGTTTACTCTGTCGCAAAGCAACGTACTGTGTAGCAATGACAGAGGTTAATAAACAAACGCTTCGTACCTGAGAATCTATGGGAGCATTCCTAACAAATTTTGAAAAAATACCTATTTATAATGGTTGGAATAACCGTTCTCAGTAAGCAGTCAGAGAAGAAAGTTTTCGGCTGCACCATGCCATAGACTTGAATCCCGTCAAACAAATCTCTGTCGCTAATGACTCGACACCGTTCAACAACAACATAAGTACTAAACATGTTGTAGCGGTAAATAAATCCCCAAAATAAATAGCTCTGAAAGTTTTCGACATTGGGTGCTGACCACATTAGTTTTAATGAACTCATCTAGCTGAAGGCGCTCGGTCATGCATCCGCACCAGATCACGTGTGGAGACGCCGTGCTCAACATCAACTGCAATCGCTGACCAGATTAGTTCAGACGATCCTCGATATATTGATAGCTTATCAAATATATCTTCGAACCTCCTTGTTTCTGTCTTTTGATTTCACTTGGTGGGTACGCTTCATATTAGGTGTTACTGGTTAAAGTGTTGTCAAACTCTGAATATCTGTGGCATCTTCAATGTCTTATCAAAAGCCAAGGAACTACTCAAAGAAGATTGAAAGATATAAGACCATGATTAAAAGAGTCGTAAATAAATGACAGTGAAGAGGAGAAAGGAAATAAAGATACTGTCCAATAAAACACTCTAGAGAGTCTACTGTGACACGTATATTCAATGTTTTGTAACGAAAAAATGAAGACATTTTTCTTTATTCGTCACACTTTATATGTAACCAAGTTTATATTCAATATCTATTGTTTCTCTGTATCAGTGGCAAATAAAAGGGGCGAGACTATAATTTATGGACGAACCAATCAGATATAAGTTAACGAGTCACGAATTTTGGCGCGAAATTCATCCATACATTTGGCTAAATAGAGTTTTGGCATTATAGTTTATATCAGTTCGTGATGAAAACCCTAAATCTAATTTTCAAGCCTAATCATCAAATGCAAATGAGAATCCCAACTGCTTTATAACCCTCATTTAGTCCTAATCAGTGGGCGTCTGCCCTCAGTGTCACTTCAGCGCCGCCCAAAGGTCGTCCATAAATTATAGTCTCACCATAAAAGGATATAGTTGTTGAAAAATAAATTCTAGCTTCGCCGTCTGTTTTCCTGAGTTATTGGCCGCGGTCTTTGATGGGAGATTATAATGGTGTTATAACATCCTTTAAGGCCATCCTACACTACGTTGAAGTTTTGCTACTGACTACTAATGAATAATACTATCGGGTTTCATCTTTATCCTTACGTTGTTTGTACAACCACGTTCAAAGGGACCTTGTTAATTAAGTGAAATCATTTGTGGCTGTTATCTCAAAGGGCGGCTTACACATGACATTCGTTTCATCACAACTGTTATCGTTTTATTGTTTAATATACCATTTATATTGTAACTGTAGTTTGTGACTTTTTGCTTTGCTCATAAACAGACACAGGGTTGTAGTGTTAATTCCTTATTGTATATTATTAGTAACTTTGCGTATTGTTACATATATCGTGGAATAGTTGTTATTGTTACCGCTATTGTTCACAAACAACTCATTCACATAAGTGTTATGAAGAAGCCGGAGAAGGCTTCTTCAGATATGCAATTATGCACAAAGTTTACACAATATTTATAAGCTGGTATACAAATAGAAGGTTTGATTAAACGCGTTTGGTCTGGTGGGGTTCTGACATGACCTGGTGACATATTTGGTGATATTCCTTATTTTCAGAACACCCAAAAACAGTTCCAGTGGGTCTTCCTTAAACACCTTCAATTTTTATCATATCATTATGCCAGAAATTATTGTAAACTAAAATACCATTTTCGGGGATAGGTATGGCACATTTCTGTGTAATCAGTTATGAAGTATCTGAGACAAACAGAATGTTTACACCATTAACCTGTGTTGGCTGAAATCATCTCCCTCATCATCAATGTTTTCTAGTCAGTAACTTCAAGGTTTCTCCTTATTGATGTCAGATTCTTCTAAAGCAATGGTTTGTCTATTTGTGACATCATTCACTCAGCTCTATTTCCCTCAACCCGACAGAGGACACCATCTTCGCAAGTACAATGTTACAGGAATATCATATTATTAAGATTTATGGACCGCGGGAAAACAGATACAAGATTAACTATTAACGTAGGACAAAATTGAAGTCTCTAAAACCTTTATGTTAATACAAAAGGATGAAGGTGGGTATGTGCTCATCATAGGTAACAAAATAGAAGCAATCATACGACAGTACAATCCCAAAATATCCAAACTGGTGAGAAAATATCAAACTAACTGAGTAACTCATCACAGTGAAGACTGTATCTCCCTTGACAAATTGATCCTTCTCGTAAACTGGAACGCGTCATATAGCGCTGTAATTTGAGGATAAATTACAAGTGTGAGGCCCAGTTATGCACAATTTATGGTAACTTTTGGGATCCATTTATGAACCAATACTAAACGTATATACTTTTGTCGTATAATTGTTAAATAACTAAACTATTCATATTCATTTCTCCACATTCACAGCCACATTTAGCCAAATTTTGTACAAATGTGATTTTCTATTTTATTGTACATTGTAGTCTGTTTGATTGGTACACAAACCTAGTATGTTTGAAATAAATGAATCATATTGCAGAGGCCGAGATTGATGTTCTGGACTTAGCTGTTTGGGCTAGGCGGAAAGCAGGACCAATCAGGACTCTAGGCTGCTCATACGAGTTTACGCGTCATCGATCCGATCGATAAGTCACCGCTCTCTGGTTGGCGGTATCGTTACGTTATTCATTAACTGGTCACACAGGCCACAAGTTATAACAACAAGAAAAACCTCATATTATTTAAAAGTTCTAATGTTCCCTGGATACAAAGAACAAGTATTTTCTACTCAAATAAGCCCAAAATGCGCAATATTTTACCGAATCATGGCCCAAGGCAGTCTTCGAAAAAGTGGGATGCCATTGGTAACTAAGCCGCATTCTGTGAAGGTCAGGAGTAAACCCAAGAAGATATCTGTTTTCTTTGGTATTTATATGAAAAAAATGTATATTATTTAGGGATAAAACCATGTAATATTCCAGCTAGGAAATGTAGAACTTCGGCTACAGAGATTATCAGGAGACTGACAATTATGTGATAAATTACTCGTGTCCCCATGGGCTGACAATCATTTATCTCGTCACAATGCTAGATGCTGAGCGGCCCTTCATGAAAAGTACCCAATCTAGAGATGACGCACAGAGAGTTAATTAACTACAAATCGTTTTAAATAAAGGCTTAAATTATGGCGATTAACTTGACTCAGTGTCTTTTGGTAATCTATTCCAGAAACTCGAGTAACTGGTAATGAAGAAGAACACCTCCGATTTGCTAAATAGGCTTGATTTCCATGGCCATGTTTTCTGTTTAACAAAAATCTTAATGTATCACAAGTCACTATGGTTTCACTGCATAGAACTCTGTCAAGCATGTAAGATTAATGTTCGTTAATTTTCCGTGCTTCATGTTTACACGAGGCGAGCCTGTTTACATGCAACATCAAACTGTTACTAATGACACAGGCCTCACTTTATAAAGTTACTCAATTATGTTGTTTTGTCATAGGACACATAGTTCATACAAACAGGGGATAAATTTTCAAACATATGAATATTAATGTTAGTAAGGTTCTAATGTCCAGTATGAGAGTTGGCACGCTTCTAGGAGGTTACGTTTTCCTTTTCAGACTTGTAGATAGTTTGACAGGCGTTTAATGAGATATTTATTCTCTTACCCTTATTATTAAAAACAGGTC